TTAAGGGAATCTTTCTCTGCTATTTCATGATCACATACTTGATTTGATAAACACTCTAAAAACAACAAATTCAGTCTTGTACAGACATTTGTTAAATAATTAACAAACTTCTTACAACAGTTCAGTTATAGTACTGCCATAGTTCAGTACAGAAACTAATCTGAACAAATCTACACTCATCAAGTGACAATATTCTTTAAATGTTTCTCTAACCCAAATTAATTTTTAGAAGCTATACGTTCATTTGAAATCTTTGGTCTCTTATTGTTTCTCAGTTTTTAATACTGTTTATATATTTTATACCCAGAGCGGATGGGTTAATATAGTAGACAGTTCTTTAAATTTAGAAGTTTAAATAGGTTACCTTGATCACATAGGAATCTCAATGGAATAAAACATACATGCTATTCTCATCTTTCCAAAGATCAACCTTTAAAAAGGAGATGGGCAAATACTAAATATTATATTTAGCTACTTGCTACCACCACTGTAATTGTCAGACAATTGCACAGTAACTTTAGATCCAACTTGCAATGCAGGAATTATAGTTTTTTTGTACATTGTTCAATGCAACAAACCCAATTTTAATAGGGGTACCTACAACTAACGTCTAAAACCATATAAATTTGATAGGAATTGTAATGGGGGGGACCTCCAGCATATCCCACCAAGACACTCCCATCAAAATAACGAACAGTAGGCTGTTAACTGTTCTCAGGTGCAAGCCAGCTCCTTGCTATTAAATTGCTTTGGTTATCATGCAAAGAAATCCTGGAGACCTTTTCAAGAATCCCAGAGCCTGGACCAAAAACAAGTTAACATTTAAGCTCTCAAAGCCTGGATGAAAAACAGAAAAATGAGGGGGGACTTGGAGGGGGAGAGGCAAAGTATAGGCGTTAGAAACACAAACATTAACTATTTATCTATTTTGCATTTGCCATCTCCAAAGTGCTCCAATTCCCCTGAACATGAATTATCCAGGATTTGACTCCAGAGAATCATTCATTTGGTACATTTAGAGAATAGTTTCAAGATTTTAATCCAATAAAGCTACACTTTTATATCCTACAATTCTATTAGTCAGCAAAGTGTTTTAAAATGTGTTCCCAAGGGAATTACTATCAAGTTACAATTCCTGTATGTTTTACTTGCTATTACAAGTACTCAGTTCATTACTGTAGTGTGCTGAAGGCCCCTACTCCAAGAATGTCTTGTCAAATCCATCAATTGCAGAGATAGTGAATTATAGCAAATAAATCAATTCCATTTGAAGTCAGAATTTCTGGAGTGACAAGCTGTTTTCATGTTCAATCATAAAGAAACTGAATTAATATCTAAACACTCTAATTATATTCTGGGTTAAGCAACCACGGAAGCCATCTGAGCCTCCTTACTACAGTAGCCTTTGAATTAGTAACAATGTTTATAAGTAATATGATCTTCAGGCATACTTGGATCCTTTTAAGGACCAGTTTCCAAACATATCAAGCTATGAATTAGAAGCTAAAGGCTGCAGTCTGGAACATCTTTTGGATCCTTTTAAGGACCAGTTTCCAAACATATCAAGCTATGAATTAGAAGCTAAAGGCTGCAGTCTGGAACATCTTTTAGGAAAAAAAAGTGGCAATACTGTATGCTGCCCAAACACCAAGAATTCCCCGATAAATTAAATTGGACATAAACCTGAAGTACTCTTAAGCACTCTTAAGTGGACTCATTTAGGTTTCAGTTTCCATCCAAATTACACTTACATGGAAATTAGCCCCAGTGAAATTTCCAGTAAGTATGCTCAGGAGTGGAGGTTATATTCTTTGTCCATATAAAATGATTATTTTCTCCTAAGAGATACCTCTCCATTTACATAGTACTCAATAAGCAGGGGAACATATTGCCATGTTGAACTATTATCCATCAAATTTATGGCCAGGTTCTAGTTCAATCCCAGATTTCCTTCAGATGTTTAAAAAAACCCAACTTTGTCTTATATAAAAAGAGCAAGCAAAGTTAACAGGGCTGGCTTTCCACTTGTGTTTTTACATCACAGAAGGAATTTTACCCAGGTTGCTCAGTCTTATGACATGTCATTGCCTCATCTAATTATTGACTGACATAATAATGTAGCTGTAATATCTGATACAGGAGCTAAGCCACAATAGTAGTTAAGGCTGGAGTCTGCGGCAGCACAATTCTGTGAAACTATACAGTAGCTTAACCTTCCAGAATTAAAATTTCAGAATCCTAAACAAACCAAGATTCTAAAAGCATTGTTTTCTGTCCATAGAAAGGGAATCCTCCGAACAATGGATTGGGGAGAAAGCCTTGTATTTCCCTATGTATCTTTTCATTAATTTGCTGGAAGGCTGCTGTGCTGTTATTCAAATCAACACTTGTGTAAAAAATCTTAACTTCAACAGTTAATTGCCCATTTCACACATCAAACATTAATATTCACCTATTTGTTAGCCCACAAGATTAATGTGTAGTTACAGCTGTATTAACCCTTACCCTATTTTGCTGTAATTTAAAATGCCTTTTACATTGTGCCTTAGATTTGTTACAAACTGTTGTAGGCTGTTCTAGTCTGAGATCAGAACTTCACAATCAAGTATTTTGAAATACATTTGTGAATTGTACAGAAAACAGAACACTTGAGATGGAACTGTTATTTTCTGCCAAGTTTACACTCAAGGCTGCCTTATCCAGCAGCTTACCTATTCCCCACCCTCAAATTAAATTGACTTTGTTCTGAACAGAGCACCCTGAGATCTTCTTGTGCGTAATGAGGTGCACCAATTACCAAAATTTTATAGCCAGAACAGTATCACCAATAAAAAAAAAGGGGGGATGTTTCTATATGAAATGCTACCACCGGAGGCATAGATGGAGGCATTAATTTCTGCTTTGTGAAATGTTTCCCCACAGTATTAAATAATCATTGCTTAAATGAGGAAAAGTCACAAAGGCAGCATTTCTTAAATGCTATCTGATGTTCATGCAGACCCATTTAAGAAACTTTTATGGAATTAACCAAGCTGGGAGGGAGTAATTTTAGCAGCCTCAGCAGATTGGCAAACATTAACACCCGTAACAGCCTGCATGCATCAGTAGGTGTCACTTCATGGTGTTGACATGGAAGAGAACAGCAGCAAAAATAAATAAATAAAAACCAAAGTGGTCTGGAACAGAAATGAAGGTTGTGAAATGTAATTAATACCATAAAGATTTTGCTTACCAGGTGGAATTGTGGCTGTTCCCCTCCCTTTGGTGAGGTAATACAAGTAGCTGGATTCCCATTTTTTCCTAATGATCACTTCTTTCCTAGTACATTGTACAGGAACGGTGGAATGTGGCAAATTAATACAAGACTTACCCCCACCCTCAGTCCCTTTGTGTACATGTGGCCAAAGAAAATGAAAATACAACCCCCCTCCCCCTTCATTTTTTTTGTAGTTCCAGCAAGTGTCACTGACACTAAATATTGGGGTCCAGTGGTAGCATTTCATCTCTTTAACAGTTAGACCTGACAAAACTAGGAAACATGCTTCCCTGACCCATATCCCATTTCAGAGACCTGAAGATGAAAAAAGAGGAAGGGGAAAAGAGGACACAAAAAAGGTTGCCTGTCTATCACAAATATAGGCACTTAATTGTCTCAAAACAAATATAGCAAACACGTAGATATCACGGAAATCCAAAGCTCTCATGTGATGTTGAAACCTTAAAAAAACTCAGTGGATTTATGATAATACTTTGCACTTCTATCAAGCTGTACCTAGATATTTCCTACAGATGAAGCAGTAGTGGAAGTTTGTTAAATCGTTTTGGAAAAGTGACAAAATGGTTAGCCAGTTCTCCCCTCCCCAACTGCTTGCTCTGGGCTCCAAACACAAGCTATTGAAGGGGAGGAGCTTGCTGCAAGCTGCTTACATCAGCTCTTGAAAGCCTCGTGGGTTCTTGTATAGAAAGAAAGAAAGAAGCAGCGCCGCCATTTTAGAAGCATAGGCGATTAAGGAAAAAAAAGCAAGAGGCTTCAGAATCTAGTGAGAGGAAACTATATAGCAATACAACCCCCATCACATGCACAAATTCTATCATTTTATGTCAGTTCTATCAGCTAGAACCTATTTAACACAGTTGAAAAAAGGGGATCCTTGCTGGTGAGTGCTGGAGACTCAAAGAACCTCTAATTATTCACCACAGTAGGGTCAATACCTCCTGCCCCCTCCTGTTTTTTCAGTAGATGAGGTAGACGAAATAAAAATGGAAACATCCTGTAAAGGAAAATTATAATGCTGCTTGTCAGGGACAAAAAGATTAAAAATAACACTGCCATACTGCAGCGAGGGGAGTGAGAAAAAAAGACGAACATTTTAAAAGCAAATTAAGATCTCACTTGAATCCAATTGGTCTCTATTTTTCTATTAGCGAGTTTTTTTTAAAAAAATATTCGTTTAAAACGATTTTCCAAACTCATTTTGCAATCTTTATTTCTAGATTGCCTTTTCAGTATTACAAACCTACATATACATTATAAAACCTTCACGTTTAAAAAACACAACCCCCTTAACATTGACATACTTAGAAATATAGGTGCTATGACACATCATCCCATCCTTAAAAATGACTCGCTTCTTGCTACTACTGTACTTATTGCTTTCTTTGTCCCAACTCTTGCCCTGCAATCTTTATGTACAGATTGCTTATTTAATTCAAAAACTTCTTGTCTCCCACACAAAGAAGCAGCACTTTATAGTTCAGTCACCACCATCTATTATGTGGGAGCTCATTAACCCTTGACAGTCCTGGAGATGATGGATTTTCTAAGAGACCATCATTCTCCTTATATATACATTTTTGATGGCAAAATGCCTGCGTCTTAAGGGTTAACACCTCAAACAAAACCCACTTTCCCACAATTTTTTGTCTTTTCTTCGTGCCATTAGCTCACTTCGACACGGATGAATTTTTTTTGGTCAGTTGGTTGAAAATGCGACACTTACTATCCAATTAATTTTCTCGTCGACAGCGCCTCAAGGTTTAGCTTTTTTGGATTAAGCTGTGTTTTTAAAGAAAAAAATGAATTTGGTTTTGCTCATTTTAAAAAAAAGCAACTTTTCGTAACAAAAAGTTGCTTGATAAAAAACATCAGGGAAAGTTGTTGCTAAATATTAATTTTGGTTTATGTTTTTAGTGGCAGTTGTTCTCCTTCAGATCATAAAGAATTTTAACAGCTTCCCAATACAGACGATCAGAAATGTAGATGGCTTTTTTGTGTGTCGTCTCAGAGGCTCAACTGTGGGGGAATTTTTCTTTGTTTCACGAAGTTCAACGGTGTCTCAAGACCAAAGGAAACCTATAAAATGAAGCAAAAAATTACAATTAAATTCCAAAAATTTAACTTTAAAGCACGAAAGAGATAGCGTTTGTGTAAAAATTGCTCTTCCTAAATTTATCATATACTAAAACGTTTTTATCAGGTTGAAAGAATCAGAGGAGAGGAAATAAATTATCGGACGATGTTAATTTACGTTTTAACTGCTCACTTTTGAGTGGCTCGGGGTTTTTTGTTAGGGAGAACTGAGTAAGGGCTTTCTTGAAGGTTCAAATTACCTTCATTATAGCCTAAGGAAAAAAAATAGTATTTGCAAATGTCAATAACAATGTATTGGGGGGAGAGAGGAAATAAAATTATCAGACCGTAATGCCCTTTTGTCCCCTCCCAAGCCGTTCCCATAATAACGTTGGCAGAAACACCGTACTCACCTTTAAACAGACCCCAGAATGGCCGAAGGGAGCGCGCGCGGAGGCTTTTATACGAGGCCACTCCCTCCGCTTAACGCCTCCTCCTACCGTCGCCCGATGCGGCCACAGGACAAAGCC